TCCGTCGTGATACTGCTGTACCAAATGGCCAGACCCAAGGTGTTCATAGTGCATAAGCGCACACCCGATGGCTACCCCTTTCTGTACGTAAAGCCCGATCGGAGTGTCTTCTTCCCGTCCATTGAGTACATGAAAGTGAAGATCAATAAAGAGCTTCCGGACAGTCAGGAGATGTCGGCCAAGATTGCCGTGGTTTTGGACGGGGAGCACATGTTTAGGGCCGACTCCACGTTCGCGCAGGTATTCTGTCATAAGTGTTGCTAATTATTGGCCAAATTCTTGAGTTTATTCTATGATTCTGTTGTTTTAAACAACTTTTTGTTTGGTCACCAAAAGGGCGTCAAGAATATGATATCGAGTCTAAGCGATCGCCGGGTGTTGACTGTGTTTTACAATCTGCGAAAAACGGTGTTCCGGGCCATCCATGGGGTCGGCATTCCGTCCAATGAGTTCCACAACTGTCGCACTGAGGAGGAGGTCTACCATCTCATCAAAACGCATAATAAGATCCGAGTGTCGCGATCGCAGTCCAACATCGAGACACTCTTCAATCAAAGTACCACTTCTTGTGGCCATTGGATCTCACAGTCGGCTCAAGCCTATTGATCAGTACCGGGATGTCGGCACAGACTCCTCTCTCTCTCTCGCCTTTCTATTAAATGAATTAAAAAATATGTATTTCCTGTTAATATAGTTTTTAAAATTAAATTTATAACTCAAATGTAATGCAAATAACAATTATAATAATAGTATATAAAGTTAATAATCTGTGATCAACCATATATTAGCCATAAATATGCAATTAATTAATAACTGTTTTAAAAGTGTTTTTAAAAGTTATTGTATTTATAAAAATAATTGTTTTTATATGCATTTTAAATATATATATATAATACTAAATAATTAATTAAAATAAAATGTTTTTAGATTTTTATAATTAATGTGAATTTAGTTTAATTAAAACATTGCTATAAAAGTGGTACAAAAAAGTGGTGCAAAAAGTGTTAAAACTTTTTTTGATTGACTAATGCGAGGGAAAGGGATTAAAAATACAGTAGTTTTTCGCACTGATATGTCAGGGGAACGGTATCACAGTTGAAAAGCTTACAGTGCATAGTATGCTGACATACCAGTGCTTTCTTACAGTTTATGAACTCGTAGTCATCCCATAGGCGCCAATTAGGCCGTACATGTCATGGGTTTTAAGGTATTAGTACACAATATGCCACTCATTATAGTGTACGACACGCT